TCTGACGTTTTGTTTTCAATTCTTATTGAGAGCACTATGTTTCATCCATAATTACAATGACTGATATGCATGATGGATTTTTTGTGAACTTTTTTAAAATGTTATTGTTATGTTTAACTTTCATTTAGGTAATTCATCAAAGAGAGTGGAACTAAGCGACAGTAGACTTTTGGATTCAATTAAAATTCAATAGGCTCTGTTTTTCAGTATCTTAGTTTCCTCTAAGAATAAGTCTCGCAAACCAATAGCCGTCGGTTTCGGAAACTTTTTCCGTTAATTTTATTCATAGCGAATTAGTTTTGTAAGAGCTTAGCAGTTATCCTTATGAAGGTTCTCAGGATCGCTACAAAATCGGCAAATCCAACAAAAGACTGTGAAAGGACCATGTACCTGCTTCCATACACATTTTTTGCCATTTCTTACGTTTTTGTGCCACTTCAGTGAAATAATAAAGAACGATTTTAATATTCGTTCTTTGTTCCATATTGTTTTTTTTGACCATTGTGTCTTATAGGATTTGGGACTGAACACATACTTAAATAAATTAATATCTAGAAAGCGTTGACGGGGGTGAGTAGGATTTTAAAAGTTTGCTTGATAAATTATAAATAAATTTTTTATATAATATCAATTCAATTCAACATTTATTTACTTCTGCTTCTGAACTTATAGTTGTAACAGAAGGAGGTTTGATGTATATTTATTATTAATTAAATTAAACTTATAACTAATTAGGTTTAAAAAGTAAGCAATAAAAACAAAAAAAGTTAAGTTAAATTAATAGTAGGGAAATAATTAATATAATATCAATTACTAGTCCAAATGCAAATTAATAATTATTTTATTATTTATAACAAGTTTAGTCTATTATGTATAATAAATTTATAAACACAGAACTAATCATCTGCTAGGTCTGCTAAAAAATTTACTTGGAACTTCTAGATGAGTCAATATGAGAGCCTTTGAAGAAAAGTATAGAATAGTGTAAGGCTTCTTACAAGAAACAAATTATTATCTCTTTTATATCGTTTATGAAGCTGTACTTTTTGCTTTATTCGTTTAGTTAGATACATAAGTACCAGAAGTTGTATTTCTAAATGCATTAGTTGCTTCAGTTCCATATTGCAAGACTTGATATTTGTTTTGTCTGTCGGTAAGTATTGGTCGACATAGATTCAATTATGTAGAAGTTTATATTTACTGCACTAATGCAACTTATTTCATAATTATGGTTAACTCAAAGTCGATTCAAGCTGATAGTCTCTAGCTACCATTGCTGTGTATTTGTTCTTGCTTTATATGTAACTGACTACTTTTCATCTATTGCAATGCAGAAATATTTAACTAAATGAATAAATATTCGTTACCTGTTTTGTATGAATTATATAAGATATGATTAATGCATTTATTCATTTATTCATTTACGTATAAAAAAAATAAAAACAATAATCAACAATATTCTGTGGAAGGCACTGAAATATCATATCAATGACTATTCAAAGCATATATTTTTATGGAAATATTGAGTTATAATTCCGTTTTAAAATTATATCTTAAAGCTCTGGAGATTTCAAAATATTTACATGAATTCTGCACACATATCATAATCTCTTTTAGTCTTTTTTTATTTTACCCATTTTTTATTTATAAATGTGCAATGCATGAACAAGTGAATACATTACAGAACTCGTAAATCAATTTATTGCAGCTGCAGTGCTACATGAGAGCACTTTGTGCATTGTAAATAGTCTGCACATTTTGCATATTATTATTTATATTTATTGCATTTTATTTTATTTTTAATTAAAACTGTCCTTTAAATACGAAAATACACACACACACACACACACACACACAAAAGTAAGTTAATTGCATTTTAAATTTATGAGTTTACACAGCATCGGTGCCGAAACTCACAGGGCCAAGCACAGGGCCAGGCACAGGCACAGGAACAGGCAAAGGCACAGGAGTCTTGCCTTTTGCCACGCAATTACAGCGAAAAATTGCAAAAGCAAATGAAACTGAAATGGAAAATTTGAAATGGAAAATGTAAAAAGGAGAGAAAAGTCATTAATAAGTTTTCTAATTATAACTGCAAATCATTTTCAGGCATAATTAGAACTACAATTGCGGATTTGACCCAAAACGGTATTCGCATAAAAGTAGGGATGCATGTTTCAGGTTGGGAAAGAATTTAGATACCACCAAAGTAGAGTATCATTATATGTTGACTCAAAAATATGGTAGAAAATACTATACGTGGGTTACATAAGATTTCATAAGAGAAATCTGGTGTACCTGAAATGAATTGGAAAAAGTGCATCCTGGCAACAACACCCACAAAGGAGGTTCTCCACACACACGCCAAAATTGCATAACTTAAAGTTCCACGTCACTATCTCACTCTATGGGACTGTCTTTTTGTTTTTGCATTTGCAAATGGATGCATGCCTAAATGCACCCATGCAGACATACTATCCTCAGAGCAGCTTCAAAGGCAATTGCATTCCAGCGAAATTTATACACGTATTTAACCACATTTGTTGCAGTTCTGTCAAAGGCGAAACTTGGAAACTAAAATAAAAAAAGTATCTATGAAACGAAATATGAAATGAAGAAAAATCATTTGGCAGGTAATTTACTTTTATACTATTTTTCACATTTTTTTGACACAATTTCCGTTGAGGAGCCACGAATGCTCGTAACGATGGCATTTCGCTGTGCGTGAAAGATAAACAAGCCCATCAGTGGAGCATCTGTGTGCTACATTGCAGCACACAAAGCGTGCAAGTACATTTCTGTGAGGCATTGAAGTGCCAACATAAATTCCAGCAGAAAGACTCAAAAATTACACAAAAATTAAAACTAGCAAAAATGTTTTGAGAACGATTTTCGGAATACCACAGTACAGCGGCATCAGTGGCTTTAGTAGCATCAGTGGCGTTAGGGGAGTAAGGGACATCAACAGAAAATCAATTTGCAGTTGAAACGCTCTTTGAGGCAGGAGCGTCACTGCTGCTGACTTCACTGTTTTGCATAAAAGTTCTTTGAAGTGGTTTTTGTGTTTGTCCTTAAATTGCGTCCAATTTCAAGTGTTTTTTGAATATTTTATAAATTTCCTTTTTTTGTTTTTTCATAAAGTCGAGAGTATTTAAGCGTATAAAAACATTTTGCAAAACTAAAATCTTTAAAAATTCTGGAATGTAAATAACCGAAAAAATCCACAGTACAAAGAATTGTTGTGGAAGTATGAAGTGTAATCAAAAGATAGTTCCAACTAAATTTGGTGATGAGATTTTAAAAAGAATTTATTTATCAAAGTTTTTGCTTTCAACGATCTGTGAGGATATTAGTTCGGGTAAAACAAACTTAAGTTATGTTTAGTTCAAGAGAGAAAACTGCAGTCTCAAATCGAGTCTTAATGATATACAAAGATAATAGCAATAGCAAAAAATAGATGACTATTAAATGCATTTCAAAATACTTCAAGTGATGACGTCCTTTATCCAATTTTTCTCTATCTTCAATTTTAATAATATTCTTTTTCAGATAAGTCATCAATTTTTTCATTATTATTTTATTATATATTTTAACTGATTCCTAGGCTTTAATATTAACGATTCTGTCGAACGAGAAAAATTGTAAATATCATAGAACAAAATTTTCAATTTTTAAAAAATGCTTGTTAAAATTCTATATTTTGCTTATAATTTGTTTTATTTGTATGCATACCGACGTACACTAATAAAATATAAGAAAAACTAAAACCCACTACGAAAAAATTGGACAGATGATAAATTAGAATATATATTGATTGGTTGATTGCAGTGGCTAATCAGCAGATTCCTCTCACATAATTACCAATTATTCCCAGTTATAATACCAAATTCATCACAAGAAATTCCTTTAGATAAACTAGTTCCATCCAGACGAGATAGACAGACAGGCACTAAAGAATGCACTTCCCTAAAAATCTGCTTCTTTTCTTCACAAAGCTAGGCAATCACAGAGGAAGTGTGCGATGCCCCCTTCTTTGTACAAATTTTCGCAACTTCTATGATAAGTGCTGAACGAAAAACTCAGTTTCTCTCTGAGGAATGTTGAACACCATTGACCTGAACTTGGTCGCTGTTAATAAATTCCCTGGACCTAGGTTTCGTGTATAACCTTTATAAGTTTGATAGAGATGCTTCAGATGTTATAAATGACAAAAAATGGATATTAGTTCCTCTCATGATTGTCGCAACGGAAACATACATTGGTACACCTAGGGAAATATTCATGAAAGTGATAAGGTAGGGTGAACAGTCTGATATAAAGGTGAACGATTAAAGTGCTTTAATTATCGCTTGGTTGTCAATGAAAATGGTAAGCTTCTATTAATCTTTGCTGTGGTTTGCAGTTACTCAACACACCTCCCTAAAGTATATTATCGCATATTTAAGTAGTTTCGAAACAGAATTCGAACTAATTTCTCAGTTTTTATGTATGTTAGTGAGATCTGAGCTCCAAAATAAGAGACACGTAAATTGTATTCCTTTGAAAGAAAAGTACTCAAAAAACACCTAGTCCAGTAAATGACTAAATAAAACAGCGGTTTTGAAGGTGCCACTACATTGACGAGTCGCAAGGCTTATGTAAGAAGGAGAATATTGAAGTTAGTACATATATAAATTGAAAGATTAAGTCCGCCGGGCCACGTAAACGTAGTAACCAATAACTACTGACCACGAAAAGTGCTAATTATAAGGAGGTAGAAAAGCAAGACCACGACTAAAATGAATGCACAGAACAGGGATTAGTGGAGACACAAGCACCCCATGCGGGTTGCTCAGCCAAATATACTCGTATATTTAGCCTAAATAGCCTAAAGGGTGTGTCAATATCACTGAATTTAGAAAGTTAGAGGAATGTCTGTTGATAATTTGGTGCAATGGTGCAATTTGATATTATAGTAAATATTGATATACAGGTACTTATCAATATTACAGTCAACTTACCATATCGTCTGCATTAGCGCGTTTGGGTACAACACGTCCTAATCACGATTTTTATGAAGAATCTGTAAATTAAGAAAACGAGTTAATATTTTGTACAAAACATATTTTATTTATTATTTTTAAGAAATACTCAGATGTTAAGGATTATTGATTTATATGTAAAAAAAGTATCTGTAGAGTAATTATGATTTTTTAAGACACGGAATCAAGTGCAAGCTGTTGCAACAGAAAGTTGAAATATGTTCAGAATATAAAATTATTAGTGTCGGTTTTATTTAAGTTTTAAACTAAAACTTAAACATTAGCAAATCTAAGAAATGTTTGCTTTTAACTTAAACTGCATTGAAGATTTGCTACGCGATGTTAAGTGCAATCTCGAATGCAGTTTGTGTTTGACTTGCGATGCGCAAAAAAGTTGCATGAAAGCAAATACAAAACAAAGATTCTGATTCGGGGACTCGTATGTCAATATTTTGTCAAGTTTCCTGCTTATTCTTCACTTCACATGCACCAAGAGTTGCATTGAAATGCAGCAAGTGGCTTAAGATGTGTGATAACGGGAGAAAGAAATATCACAGGAACTGTCAAACGAACTCCTGCCAGCTGCAGTGTATGTGCCGCATGTGCAAAATAATTCACACAATGTGCAGTTTTTATGGGCACTGAAATTTTATTCATGGAGTGCTCGACTCGAGTTGAGTCGAGTTGAGAGTGTGGAGAAGTTAAGATTATAATTATGTGCTGTGAACAAGTTGATGGGTTGTGGAAGTGCTGCGCCGTACTTAGAGCATTTAATTAGAATAAAATGGGTTAAAAGCAGTAAATGTAGAAGTGTATAGTACGAGATTTGGAAGGAGAAGAAATGGAATATTTGTAACAAAATTTGCTTAAAAGGAAAACGTTTATGTATTCCACAGTAATGTCAAATGTTGTACTTGTCATGACGTTCCTCCCCTCTAAAAATATTAACATAAATTAAGAACTTCATGGAGAAATTATCCTATTCAAATTAATCACAAAGAATTTTTGCAGGTAAATATGCTTTTAACACATAGCAAATATTTAAATGAATTTATAATCTATATGTTATGTGTAATGTTTCTATATATCGGGTCTATAACTGAAAAATCTGATATTTTTATTGAAAAAAATGCTTTATTCCGATAATTCAATGAAATGTCATTTAAAATATTGCTCATTAAAAGTTATGACATTCGCTCGTCTTTCGGTAATAGCTTCCTTCTAACGAATCAATTACTTAACAACTCATTACTGAGTTTCGGAGACTGACGCAGCATATCTCCCCAGAGGCCTCTGCTTCGTGCATGCCTTCTCCAGTCTCGTACATCAAGTCCGGTTAGTGCTCCTTAACTACTACTACTGCCAACTACTACTTCAAAAACCCTTTTAGCTGAATGGATGAAGATATCCATTCTCACGACATGGCCAAGCCAGCGAAGTCGCTGGATAAACGAATCAATCATACTTTGTGCAAAATTCTCCCTTAATAGTTTAAGCTGATTTTAGTAGCTCAGATGCACGAAATCAACCATATCTCACTAAACTTAGTGCTATTAATGAATATGGTACAAGAAAAGTGCTATTACAAATCTCAACACTTGAATAGAAACATCTGTATGCTAAAGATGCTAGCAAGCCTATAACTGCTTTCAGAAAAAAAGAGAGATGGAGTACGAAAACTGAGTAGTTAGAATATTCGAATAGTTTTGCAAAAAGTCAATGGATCTTCAAACTAATCCTCGACGTGAATTTTTTTGGACTTGTTCACGAGCATATAATGCAAGATCCACTACTAACGACGGGCCATCGACGTAACATTCAGCATATTATGCTTTTGAGGAGGATACACCCAACCAGGTGGATGAGACGTTACCATGTTTTAACAATAAAATATTTATTTTTTATTGAATTTTACAGTTGTTAAACGAAACATCTCACTTAATTATACATTAAGACTGAAAAGTTTTCGGAAATTCTCATTTAAAATTCGCGCGCTGTATATTTTTCGATATTTTAAGTTTATGTAGTTTGGCAGCACTGTCCTTAATTACTATGCCAAAAATGAGCGCGATCTGTCAGACAGTTCGTTTACGGCAGCTGTTGAAACCAGTTCACCTCAGTAGTGCGTTGCGAAATGTCTTCGACGGTCGTACGACCGTACTGAAAGGCTTTGTACCACTCATAAACTTGAGTTTTCGATAAAACTGATTCCCCATAAGCCTTTTGTAGCATTCGCAACGATTCTGCACACGAAATTTCGTTCGAAACACAAAATTTGATGCAAACTCTTTGTTCAATATTTTTTTCCATTGTTTTTTTCGCAACGCACTACTGAGGGGAACTGGTTTCAACAGCTGCCGTAAACGAACTGTCTGACAGATCGCGCTCATTTTTGGCATAGTAATTAAGGACAGTGCTGCCAAACTACATAAACTTAAAATATCGAAAAATATACAGCGCGCGAATTTTAAATGAGAATTTCCGAAAACTTTTCGGTCTTAATGTAGTTCATTCAGTTATTACCGCCCATAAGTGACTGGGCTATCTGTTATCGAATTTCAGTGCTTAAGCTATGTACCCAAGAATCGAGTGTTATATACGATGACAGGTGTGAAAGACTCTTGAGAAACATATAGGAAACATATAAAAAAAATCAAGATTATTTATTTTTTGTACAAAATTACAACAAAATATTTGTGTGCTTGCAGTAGAGTTGATATTGGAGTTGAACATACTATATCGACAGTATATAAAAGGATGCGGTACCCGATATTGCAATACCATTATGCATGCGAAGATAACCTCACAATTACAGTGTACATGAATACCTTTACCCATCACAAAAAAATATGAATACGGAAATGGAATAGGAATTCAATTTACATTTACTCAAATTTAAGTAAAAAACCCAATTGTCACAGCGAATGAAACTCCCTTAAAATTGGATTTTGTTGGTATATTGTCAAATTCGCCAGAGCGTGTATATTTCAATTTTAGTCAAATAAAGTGCAGCTTAAAATTATAGAAAAATCCTATAAAAAATGGATGCTTTCAGAAGTACAAAATGGTTGGAGTTTTTGTGTATTTGTGTTCAAAGTGGCAAAAAGCAAGTGTTCGTTGGTCGATTAAACGCACATGGAATGAAGTTCTGCGGCAGCCACTGCAACTCCGACTGCAGCAAACTAAAAAATTGTAACATGGAAAGGACAATATTCCACCCAACACCCAAAGGGATACGTTTTGCGAATATTGGAAAATCGCGTTTGAATATTGCAAGAATATAAATTTCGTCACAATTTTTTAATCACTATTTTTTATGCAGTCGCACATATACATCGTGTATATAGAATATTGCAGAATATTACAGAAAAATGTTCTCCAAAAAAGGGAAATGTTTAAAAATTTTATTCCTGAAAGTGCACGAAAAAAAAGTCTCGAAAATCCTTCGATGCTGAGTTTGTGTGGCAAACCAAGTAATCGAAAAATTCAGCTCTATTGAATTTAATAGTGAACGTAGTGAGTGGGAACAGCTCAGTTATAATTCATTTTGTTGGTTTTGGAAATTGATTCTACACAAGGAACTTTTACATTTTTAAAAAATTAATCCAGTGTTCTTGAATTGGAAGATTTTTTTTAAATTTTTGAAGAAGTATTCATAACTGGAAACATTTAACAAATTGAAGCTTTGTTAATTAACAAATATTCAGGTGCTTCGCTTTCACTTAGGGAGATATTCCTTGGTGCTTGCAACAAAAAGAATATTTTTTTACTTTATTTGAAAAAATATTCAGCCCGCTAAACGCTCAAAAACGGCTCATTTAAATAGCCAAACTGAATAAAATAGTAAATTATATACCCCTTACTTTAAAGCCGAATATATTCTTATACATAGATGCCATTTTTTCAAAACCGTTTCCAGTTTTTTTTAGAAGACCTTAATCTTCTCAAAATTTTCATTAATATTTGTTCTAGTCCTTAATTAATTAATTGTATTTTATTATCTTCCGAACATAACATTAAGAAATAAATTTGAAATAATTAGAATAACAAATGTGGAATTCTTTATCATTTAAAATTCTTCTTATACAGCATGATAAGAATCTCTCTCTATATAACAAGAATTTTTGGTCAAAATCAAATGAATGTAAAATTCACGTGACCAATCGTCATGTCACTCCCGTTTGCAGTTGCGTTTTCTTTATTCCTGAAGTACAGTACAGTTCGATGATACTAAAGGGACATAAACCTCACTAAACTCTACTTTTCAGCGTGTACCCTTAGCTGATAGAACACAATCGAATTCGTCTTGCTAATCTGGCTTCCAAATGTGACTATTTGCTAATAGACAACGTCACTAATGCAGAAATGGGGTTCGTCTTAACATACAGTTTTGTCATAAAAATAAATCAACTTTTTCTCATCAATACGCTTCTTCACTGAAGTGACGTTAAGTGACGTCTGCCCCTAGCTGGTAGATCATCATCGAATTCGTCTTGCTAATCTGCCTTCCAAATGTGACTATGTTGCTAATAGACAACGTGATTAATGCAGAAGTGAGTCCCGTCTTGAAATAAAATTTTGTCATTAAAATAGATCAACTTTTACTTATCGACACGCCTCTTCATTAAAGTAATGTTAAAAACTTTGGTCATTTCTTACCATCGTCAATTCTTACTGTATTTGAATTTTGCAAGAAAGCTCCTTGTATGATCCTTGTTTAAAATCGACCATAGCATTAATGTATAGCAGGAAAGTTCTTGTAAGAATAAATAAATCGGTATATAAGAGTTTGAATCTGAATACTCTTTAGCATTTTTGACAGTAGCTTAGCGATCAAAACAGTAAACTGAGAGGCAGTCAATTCGCTTCACCAATTTAGTTAGATCCTACGATTCATGACTGTTTGACAGTTATGGAGCCATTTTAAAATTTTAATGAAAACAGACGATATTTTTAATTAATCTATATTAAGGATAGTTAAGTACAGGAAAGTGGAAAAAGTGTCAATTTTTGGAAATAAAAAAATGAAAGCATGTAGTCA